TCACTGACAGAGTCGACTGGGATGAACATGGTCTCTAGTTCTTTCTACCCCCGTCAGATTAAGACTTTGTGCCATTACATGACACCGCCTTGCCCAGACAGGGGACATCTGTTTTTTTGGTGTACAAGCTCATTTCTGTCCACAACTTGTAAGCATCAGCTAACATTTAAAATATGGTTATTCCCAAGACAAGCAATAGCTTTGAAAGCTCAAACACTGTACGACTTACTCTTAATTATGTATTCTGAGAGTGATCTACAGAATCAACACAGGGAGGCTGCACTACATTTATAGATGGGCTAAAACCACTCAAACATTTAAAAAATATGAGGGCTCTAGGTCATCAATTCAGAATTTAACAAAGTAGGATGCAAAAAAAGAACAACAATTATGTTGCTGAGGCTTACCAGAGATGAGGTTGCAGCTTTTGAAGGGTTCTGCAAGCTCCTTAGCAAATTTGTACTCGCAGTACCAGATTGAGTACCCCTCAGTGTCCAAGTGCTCCCAGAAGTGGGGAATGGCTACTTTCAGGGTGTCCTCATTGGAATACTTTCTCTTGAACTCATCCATAACAAATGTGCTAAAATCGAAAAAAGGAAAAGAAAGGTCAATTACAGCTGCTTTTTGTGCATGTAGGGTAGAGATGTAGACATTCAGCAGGTGAACTGTATCAACTCATACACTTGTTTTGGAGTAACTCAGTTCTGTATTAAGGCACAACACTTTCCTCTTTTAAAAAAAAAGAGAAAAGTGACTGCCTGTTCGTTACCTTACATTTTGAATGCCTTTCTGAAACACATTATGAAGGTAAGCATTTTTGAATGAAGCTCTGACTGCTCGCACAGCCCAGCTCATCTTACAAGCTTCAGAACCCTAAAATCAGCTCTAAATCTTGAGGTTCAGTTTGTGCCCATAGCATGAACCAGCCTTTACTCACTGACAGAGTCGACTGGGATGAACATGGTCTCTAGTTTTTCTGCCCCCGTCAGATTAAGACTTTGTGCCATGAATGGACACCGCCTTGCCCAGACAGGGGACATCTATTTTCCCCTGAAGAATGGAGTTGCCCAATTGGTGTCAATAACTGTTACAAACCAACATAAGGTCTGCAGACCATTTCAACTCACCGATAAGCACTCGTGGAAACAATCTGCAGATGTGATCAATTGAAATGGAAACCTGCAGACTATTGGCTTTCTATTTTACATGGGTGGCCACTGCAAAGTTTCATCTAAAACTGAAAGAAAGAAAACAAAGCAACCAAATGCTTAAGACATCAAAGTCATGTAGATTGTTCTACCTCTTTGCCAAGTGTGCAAAGGGGTCCTTGGTTTTGGGCTCAGAAGCCAAAACAGCATCACAGTCGTCCATTTCCTCTTCTTCAGCAGGCTTCTTCTCTTCCTTTTTCTTCTTCTCCTGGGGCTTGGCTGCATCTTTTCCTGCCTTCTCTTTTTTAGGAGGAGTCTCTTTCTTTGGCTGCATCTCAGCAAACTTCTTGGCTGGAGAAACATAAAAACATGCTTTAAGTTAAAAAAACAATACTTACTATATGATGTAGATATTGCACCTATGTTTAAAACCTGGAGACATGTCCCGTTTGATGGACACAAAATACAGTCAATTAAGGTCTTCTTTTTTTTGTGCCCATAGCATGAACCAGCCTTTACTCACTGACAGAGTCGACTGGGATGAACATGGTCTCTGGTTTCTCTGCCCCCGTCAGATTAAGACTATGTGCCATAATTGGACACCGCCTTGCCCAGACAGGGGACATCTATTTTTTTCTCCCCAGAAAGGAATTTCCTACCCGACTAAGAGCATGAATTGTGAATTATCTAATACATTTGACAGTTTAGAAAAGGGGATGGGGTTTCTGTCCCTAAAAAAAGGCAATCGAGTATTTCCTTTACATTCTTGTTACACTTTAACAGCCATTGGTTAAATGACATCCGGTTTCTTGAGGCACAATCCTTTACGCATTTGTTTGCTTACATTTAAGAGTACAAGTCTGTAAAATTAACAATCTGTCAAAAAAAGTGCATGTCTAATTTCATCCTTTAAAAATGTGACAACAGCCAGCTTTGTGCTCAATGTGCACATTTCATTATTGATGACTTACAATCAAACTGGGCCATCTTTTCACACAGCTTTACATCTCCAAGGACTGTCTTGAACTGTGGCTGGTTGACACAGGTGACGAACCAGCGAGTCACATTAGGGTAAGGCTGACGGAAAGAGGGCTCAAGCACCTACAGGGGACAGAGTGACGTGTTAGGACTTTCAGGAGCGCATCTGGACTTAAATATTTTCATGGACAACTCGTTTCTTTAAGGTTTATTTCAAACAGTGTAGCTTTGTTTCTCCAGAGTGCATGTCATACCTGTTTGTAGAGCCAGAGAATGGAGCAGGCCACACTGATGTCAGCCAGGCTGATCCTCTCACCCACCAGGAAGGTGCGCGTGTTCAGGTGGTGGTTCAGCACTGCAAGGGTCCTCTTCACATCCTCCTTGGCCTGCTCTGTGGCCTGCACAGAATCAAACGGAGGAATGAATATGCATCATCTCTGGCCAACTGAAACCAGCCCTAAGCAGGTGAAATGTATCAATTTATACACTTGTCGGTTTAACTCAGTTATGTATTAATATGGCACAAAACTTATTTTTGACAAGAGGAAAGTTACTGCCGTACCTTACAGTTTAAGTTTGAATGAACTACAGACTGCTTAAACAATCCAACTCATCTTACAAACTTCAGAACCCTAGACTCAGCTATAACTCTTTGGGTTCAGTTTGTGCCCATAGCATGAACCAGGCTTTACTCACTGACAGAGTCGACTGGGATGAACATGGTCTCTGGTTTTTCTACCCCCGTCAGATTAAGACTTTGTGCCATGACATAACACCGCCTTGCCCAGACAGGGGACATCTATTTTAGTTGCCCAATTGGTGTCAATGACTGTTACACACCAAAATTCCACCACAGCAAGCAAACCATCATTTAAGTATTTAACTTGACCAGAAAATGCTGAGCTACCAACCTGCTTGTTGAACTGCATGATTCCCAGAGTTGGGAAGACCCATGCGCTGGCTGGTGGGATGATCTCCGAGTCAGCAAAGCTGACCCACTGCAGCACCTGGGCTGCGGCCTGGGGAGTGGCACCACGCAGGGCCTCATTGCTCACTGTGGTAGAAAGTGTACAAGAATACAAAAATGTAGATATATATTTGTACAAATAAACATGTTGGACAGAGAGCAAACAAAGGGAATACACATTGAATGTTGACAAATGTACATTGTCCTTTTTCTAAAAAGGATATAGAAATGTGCAAAAGACATTTTAAAAAATGTAAAATACATCACGTAAGACTTTTCATTCTGCTTAAGTGTGCAGGGATCTATCTAAATCACACGCCAGTGCAGTAATTAACTTAATGGTTTGCCGGGTCAGACAATGAATTCCACCATAAAATTCAACACTTGTGGGAAATAATAGTCAGCATTTATCCCGTTAGATAAGGTAACCTTTTTGATGAACACACAAACTGGGTAAGATTAATAAACACTTACAGTAGTGAGCAATGGCATTACTCTCGAACAGACAGAAACCATCATCTCCCTGGTAGGCAGGTACCTACAAGTCGAGGGGGGAGAGAGCAGAATTCAGGATTAATTCAACAATTGTAGCATGTTTTATCCAGAAATGCCAGCTATTAAGTGTATAGACATGTTTGATACACAACCATTGTGTGAAAAATCAGCAGGTGAACTGTATCAACTCATACTTGTTTTGGAGTAACTCAGTTCTGTATTAAGGCACAACACTTTCCTCTTTAAAAAAAAAGAAGAGAAAAGTGACTGCCTGTTTGTTACCTTACATTTGAATGCCTTTCTGAAAGACATTATGGAAGGTAAGCATTTTTGAACAAAGCTCTGACTGCTCACAGCCCAGCTCATCTTACAAGCTTCAGAACCCTAAAATCAGCTCTAAATCTT